TCCCTTACCCCCTCCGGCACCACCCTATTATCCCACACATGGTAGTGGCTCTCATTCTCGCGCTCGCTCGTCCAGATCCGCCGCAGCCACTTCACGCACCGCCCGCCCACGTGACCCGAGCACCATCAGCCGCACCGGGTAGCCGTGGTCCGGCGGCAGCGGCACGTCGTTCATGTGCGTCGCCAGCAGCACGTCCCGCCCGGCGTCCATGGCGTGCGCGAGCGGGAGGCAGGTTTCGTACGTGCCGCCGCTGAGGGTGTCGGCGCCGGCGAAGTGGACCCAGGTGGGTGTGTCTGTGGTGGTGGTGGTGGTAGTGGTGGGGTCGGGCACGCCGGCGGAGAGGAGCACGGAGCGGAGGGTGGGGCCCTTCCAGTAGGCGCAGCCGACGGAGCCGGCGGCGTTGTTGGCGCCCTTGGTTTTGCGGAGCAGGTTGAGCTCCTTGCGCCGGTTGCCGTCGCAGGCCATGACGATGGGGATGTTGATGGTGGAGGCGGCATAGCGCGTCTTGAGCTGGTCCATGGTGAGGGAGAGGGTTATGTTGTTGTGCGTGACGTCGAGGCGGTGGAATTCCCAGAGGAGGCGCGGGACCGCGCCGTGGTTGCGGATGTAGTGCAGCTCGTTAGGGGTGATCAGGCCGCCTTCGTGGAGGCGCGTGATGGTGGGCTCGGCGTTCATGGGGTGTTTGCCGGTGAGCCGGATCAGGTCGGGGCAGCGAGGGAGCCAGTTGTCGGGGGTGAACTGGTCTTGCTCCTCGATGGTGATAGAAGAGCGGTTGTGGGTTTGTGGGCTCTTTTGCTTGCCGTCGTTGACCTTTAAGGAGGCCCTGGTGCGGGCATCGCGCTCAATGGCTGCGAGTAAAGACCGTTCTTGGGGATCGAGATCGGGTTCTTTCTCTTTCTCGGAGTCTTTCTGGTCCTCTTGCGGCTTTCCTTGCTCATCACCCTTGCCATCCTTTTTTGATGTATCGTCCCCCTCTCCTTTCTTCTTTTTTTCCTCTTCCTGCTTTTTTCTCTTCTCGACATTCGCCGGCCAATTCTGCTGGTTCTTGACCCAGTCCTCTGTCGTCTCCAGGACGTAGCGCCAGCCCAGGGATCGGTTGTCCGGGTACCGCAGATGGAAATCTTCTTGGCTCTCGATCAGATCACGAAAGTTGACCAACTCTCCCGTGGACACTTTCTGAGACAAATCTTCCATCATCCGCCGCGAGATCTCGATCTCCTCTTGGTGGTGGGAGTGCGCAAAGCCTGGACGGCGTCCATCGTGGTTTTTGAAGCCGATAGCATGAGAATGGAGTTTAGCCCAGTCCGGCTCATCCTTGATATCTTGCTCCGAGGACCCAGGGTGGTCCGTTACGGTAATTTCCCATGGAATATGCTGAGCCATTTTGGAGTATGAGATAGAGGCAGCCATGGTGGAACAACGGAAACAACGTTCTGCTTAGCTTCTATTTAATACCCGTCTTCACAAAACAAAACAAGCATCGCCAAGGCAATTATGGGTGGTGTCAAGAATACGACCAGAGTAAACGAGTTGGGTGAATGAAGCTGCGTGATGACGTCTTCGGAATGTCATAGTACCCCTTATTGGCCCCTCGGGCCCAGATTCCCGTTTCTTTGACTGATCCTTGCCACAACCCGCGGAGATGTGTTCACCTACCAGGATCCATTGCAGCGGGACAATAACCGAAGTGAATCCGACGAGGAGAACTGAGTTAGATGTTCCAAGGTAACGAAACGAAGGGATATTGTGCTACTGGCAATGATGGAGCGAGTGTAAGTGGAGATTGTTGTCGAGACTCCATCAGGGGTAAATTTGAGCTGCAGCAGCCAACCAAAACTCAAGGTTCTATAGTGTAGCGGTTATCACTTCGGATTCTGACTCTAGGTCATTCCGGCGACCCCGGTTCGAGTCCGGGTAGGACCTCTCCTTCTGTTATTGTTCAGTTGTCGGCTTTCGTTTTGTTTTTGTTCCTTCTTTGCTTCATCTCACTCCCGTCTCTGGAGTGTTGAAATAATACGAGGCGTCTTGGGGAGACGATTATTGTTGTGCATCAATCTGTTAAGATACGGGAGCAGAAGGCAGTGTGCTTGGTGAGACGACGATAGCAAAGTAGAGGGTCCCTAAGGAGTTCAGGGATGCAGCGCATGACACCGGCAAAGGGAGGAAGGTGTATAAGAATAGTGAATTTAACAACTATTAGACTACCCAACCCGCGCAGACAACAAAAAGAGAAACAGGTCACACTGGTATCAATCTTCCGCATCACCTCATACAAGCATCCTACAGCAGAATGCCGCATCACAACTACACCCACCACGCCACACACCTAGCCCCCCCTACCGCAATTCATTCATCCCACATCACCTTCATCGTAACCGGCCACTGGCCCTTCGAGCCCCAATCCTCGCGGAGATACTCGACCGCGCCCTCGACGCCGCTGACGCCCACGACGCGCTTCAGCTCGCCCTGGGGGCCCGGCGCGCGGCGCAGGTTGGGCCGCTTGAAGAGCGCGCGGAACATCTCGGTCAGCGCCGCCTCGGACATGTCGCGTGCCGCGGGGCCCAGGAAGGACGCGTTGGGCAGCGCCGTGATGTGCAAGTAGCTCTCGCGCGGACGGGACGGGTCGACGGTGTCGGAGCCGGCGGACTGCGGGTGGGGGAGGGAGTTGTTAGTTGGGGGGGTTGACATGATGTGATGGGCTGAGGTGGGGGAGGGGCTTACCGAGGTGACGGCGATGCGGTCGCCGGCCTGAACTTGGATGGTGCTTCCGTCCGCGGCGGTGAGCTCGTCGGCTGCCGTGGCCTCGTAGTGAAGCTTCGTGGAGCCCGAAAGGCGGACGCCTTCGAGCGCGTAGCCCAGGAGCAGGGCGTCAGACTGCTCCGACGCGGGCTGCGCGGCAAGCGACCGGATTGCTTCGAGATGGGCCTCGCCCTTGGGGGAGAGGTAGAAATCGGCGGCCTCGGCGAACTGGTCGTGGTGTTAATAGGGCATTGTTAAGGGGTAAGAAACAAATAGCTTACAAGCTTGGCTTGGTACGGAACGATGGCAGCGCAAGTTACGAGGACGTGGCCCCAGGTAATGTCGTGGATGTTCAACCCGACCTTGGCCAGACCCTTGATGAGGTTCATGCCGTACGCCTTCAGCGGGTCATTCTTTCCCGGCTTGGGGCTCTTGACTTGGCGCTCGATCGAGGAGGCTAACTGGGCGGCGACCGTCTTGGCTGCCTCGAACAAGGGGAATTTCCTGACAGGGTCGGGGTTCGTGAAGACGGCCTCGGCGATAGTCGAAAGCACGGCATACAGCTCATGGTCCGTGTAGATACCCTTGAAGTTCTTGCCCCTCAGGGGAAGGCCGAAGAGAGCGGAAACAAAGCGGGTCGGCGCTACGTTGGCCACATCGCGCACGACATCAACCATTTTGTGGCCACCGAGGTGGTAGCTCTCATGTCCAAGCAGCTGCTCCGTCGCGATGCGGTAAAATGACTTGACCTGGGCCACGAGATCGGCTGTAGCCAGCGGCTGGTTGACCTCATGACGGTGGCGGTCCTGGTGAGTCGAGTCGGCCGAGACCCTAGTCTTGCCGTTGGGGGCGAGGGCATTGAGGTTGGCGTGCCATGACGACTTGTACTTGTCAGGGTTAGCGAACACCCGCTGGGCTCCCTCAAACGAACCACACTCTGTCTCGCGGGAGATACGAGTGGGTCGCGTGAAGTCGAAGAGATGATCACGCTTGAGGTCCTTCAGAATCTTCTCGTTCTCCGAGGGCACCACCATGGGGTAATGCGCGTAGACCGAGTTGTGCTTGAAGTGATGCGGGAACGCCCGGATGAACAGCTTGTAGAAGACGCAACCGTGGTTGATGTTCAGGTCGTACTGCGCGTCCTGGTAACCCCAGTTGGTGAGGTTACGGGAGCTGTAGTCAACAGTGTAATGGCGGTCACCGCGAACGAGGCAGACGGCATCGGACAGAACCACGCGCGAGATGGTGTACGTCGGAGCAATCCCCACGCCGGGCACCATGGGCGCCTTGTGCTCCTCGGCAACCAAGCCAGGGTACAGCTCCACGAAATCCGGGTGGTCGTACAGACGGCGGAGCGCATCCGAAACGCCAGGGTCGGAGTTGATGTCCTCGAACGACTCGTACGGCTTGAGGCCGAAGTGCTTCCTGAACTCGTTAAGACCAGCGACGTTCCACTTCCGGCCTTGGATGATACCCAGGATCTCGATGGCGCGCATCGAGGTGGGCACATTCCGCGCGCCAAATGACCCAGCAACGTCCTCGACAGAAGAAGTAATGCACTCGACTAGGTCATCGTCGCTGAACTTCCCGTTTGGACCCCTCTTGAAGTTGTTGAACGATCGCTCGGCGGGGTCGGCGGGAATCCTGGCCTCAAACTTGCCAAAACCCATGATCAGGTCCTGGACAGACACTTCGTCGCCCGGCTTTCCAAACAGATCGTAGTAGAATTCCTCGATCCACTTGTCATCCTTCTCAGAAATGCAACTGTGCCACCGGTAGCAAAGGTTGAATTCGGCCGACACAACGTTGCCCGTCCCACGCTCGGCCCCCTCAGCCGTCCCCGCGTCGATACCAGTGTCTTGCCTAGGGTCGAGCGTCCAGGTGGTGTCAACACGGTTGAGCTGCAGTGGTTAGCACATCCCCATCGCCATATTCCCAGGGAGACTCACATTGACAATGTTCCGCACGTAATCAAGGAGAGTGATGTTGATGTACAAGCCCGAGGTGATCAGGCGAGCTGTTTGGAAGAGGTCGTTGTCGTATTTCTTCCAGGCAGCCACGGCCTTCTCACCCTCCAGTCTAGGTGATGGTGGTGTGAACTTGCCGTCCTCATTGATGGCGATGAGGTTGTCGCAGGTGTAGTTGTGGACGCGGTTGAACATGATCAAAAGCACACCAACTCCGGGCGGCATGCCCAGCAGCCGCTTGTCGGCGAAGGAGTCGGCCTTCAGCTTTCCGTCCTTGAACGTCCGGATGCTGTCTTGCATCTCCTGATTGCTGCCGTAGAGCGGCGACAGATCGAGGTATGAAGAAGTCTTGGACTTGTTCATATCCCGATGGTCCGTCCAGAACAGATCTACGCGGTATGTTAGAGCTTATCGCCTGGGATTTCGAAGCACTGTCACTGACCGTGAATGATGATGCTGGCCCAGTACCAAAGGATGCTAGACACATTGTTCGGGTGCTTCTTGTACTCGCTACGCTTCATGACCGAGTCGTAAACAAGGTTGGGGTCGGGAAGGGCGCCCTGTCGCAGGACGTTGGCGTTAACAGACCGGGCATATGCAGTCCCAGCCGCGCCTAGTTGCGGGAACATGATGTTCTGGACATCGTCAGCGTTGTTCTCCCTTCCCTGGTCATGACGGGCAACCCACATTGTACGACCCATCGGCCTGGCGGTACTTGTACTGGTCGCCCAGGTACAGCGATGGTGGGTGCTCCAGCGAGTACCAGAGTTCCCCCAGGAAAGTGTTGGTCAGTTCGGTCCGCAGCTTCGAGTTGCTGGGCAGATTTGCGACCATCTGAATGACGCGCTCCATGATCATGGTCTTGTCGTCCGTCAACTTCTCGCCCTTCACCTTGGCGACGAGCATGTTCTTCAAGGTCTTAAGATCTGGCACATTATCAGCACACACAAGTCCTTTGCCTGGGGTTTCCAAACGCCGTACCCGCAACCCGCAACGCCTTAAGATCGTCGCGGAGCTTCCCCCATCTTGGGGTCTCATAAAATGTGCCGGTGCCCGCCTGGGTAGGCAATGGCTTAACCCGCGCTTGGAGGACCTGGCTGTGACGTTCGAAGGCGTTGGCAACGCCCTTCCTGTCGGCCTTCGTCGGCTTGAGCTTAAGGGGATTGGGTTTCGGCTTCGCCTTGCTGGAAAGCCTCTCGCCGACGTCGATAGGGGTCGTGGAGCTCGCATGGCTGATGCTGCTTGATTTTTCGGCGCCATTGGGCCTTCTCTCCATATTGTGCAGGGGCCATTGTTGGCGCTGGTGCAAAGGTTCGTGGAAAGACAACTCGAGTCAAACTGGGTTCCTCTCAACAACGACGACAACGGCGCACTGCAGAGATCGAAGAGACGAATGGGAGAGAAAAGGCAACACCACGCATGTGCAACGACGACCTCATAATCAAGGTGCATGCAGCACCAAGCAGGTCGCGACCTGGCCCACGCTAGTTAACGTGGCCTGGGTCAAGACGGCATGATGCAGCTTCTGCGACTCAGCTCCCTACCGTGACGAATCAGAATTCGTGCAATGGACATCCCATGCCAGCCCAGTGGGCCATGGCCTGCGTATGAGACACAAGTTCTTCGTCGACTTCCCTGAGCCCCTTCTCTTCTTGGATTAGACCACCGTGCCATCACGGACGGCAGCGAGGCATCTCCGCCATTTCGTCGCACGAGGAAATTGATGAGCGGTCGGAACGAGCACTAGCAGGCTGAGGTTGCGTGCTAGCGCGCGCTTTGTGGGATGTGGTTCGCAGATCCCGATTGATTGCAGGGTACCAATCGGGGTCCAACAAGCTGGAAGCCGGGTTCCAAGTCGGGGTCTGGTCTGTTTGTTAGGGTTTGCATTGGGACTGGGGTTGGTTGACAATCTGAAAGTTGCATTGCCCGCTGCATTTGGGTTGTCAAGTTTGGTTCATTGGAGTCGCCTGAACTTGGCCAAAAGCTGTGGTTTGTCGGGACAATCGGGTGCCAAATGCAATGATCGCTCAATGGAGGGGGGACCACTGGGCCCCACGGCTCTCACCTATCCTGTCGATCAGTGGAGAGACGGACAAATGACAGGGCTCAATGTTCCCTGTCGAAGCCAATGATCGGCGCGGTCCGGCTGAGAACCGAAAAGGGCGCGGCCCGGCTTGGCGATGACCCATGAGGAAGAAAAAACAAACCTTGTCCCACACACACGACGCTGAACGCCAAAATTGCAAGAAATCGAGGCGTTTTATTGAGTGCATGAAACCATCGAGATACACTCCGAAGACGCATCACGGAAGAGGCACGGGTGAGACACGAGCAAGACATCCAATCAAGACATCCAAAATTCTTTCTATCGGCTTGGTTACTTAACATCGTTACTGCTTCGTACCCCGTCTGCGATCGCGCTCTCTCAAAATCCTGCCGTCCGTCAACCCGAGAGCCCGACGCCCGGGCTCGCTTGATGCAACCTAAAAGCTCATTCCACGACAACCCCAGAATCGCCGGCAATTGACGGAGCTCGTCAGCCCAATCCCACTCCGCTCAAGGTTGCTTTGCATGGATGTTTGCAAAGCACCACACGAACGAGAACGAGAACTTCAGCGTCAGCCGGACAACAAGGGTGGGGTCCAAGAAACCATCTGCCTTTCCCCAGAAATGCACAAGCTGAAGCCTGGTTTGATGAATGCAACCTCTGCCGGAGTCATGGCAACGTAGGGCCAAGTCGGCCAAGGTGAATATCATCATCCGGAGTGGGCCCTCCGCTGGCTTGTTGGTCAAGCGACTCAAGCCGCTGTTACCGCCCGTGAGAATCACAAGTGGGTCGGCTCTTCCGCTTTCGTCTCCCTTGCAGGCCAAATGCCAGCTGAGGGCCGGGGCCTGCAGTTGAAATTCTCCTGATAGGCTCGGACAAGCTTGTCCTCCAGCAGTCGGTCGCCGAGCATGCGGGCCAATGCTCGCAGCTTTCACCAAATGGAGACCGTCGGGCTCATCCTTGCATTGTCATGATGTGATAGGACAGCAATGAAAATGTTCATCTGTGGCTGATCTGACCGCCAGCCGTGCGTCGTGGGAGGATCGGCGCCCTACCGATGACCGGGAAAATCATGGCATCGGTGGCTGGATCAACAAGTGGGGTCTCGGCTCGGATACCGGAGAGATGGGTATGAATGCTTCCCCTGCTGTGCGTAAGAAGGACAACATGGCTGAGTGCTCGATCCAATGAGGCCCAATTGACAGCGCGGCGCCTGAAGCCCGAACACCTTTGACCTAAACCAAGCGAGAGATCTGAGACTAACTGCGTGCGTGTAAACAATGGATAACGCACACCTGCAGCCGAACGGCCAAGAGAGCAACGTCGGGGTTGGGAATCCGGGGACCGAGTTTCGACGAGACTCCCATGAGGACTACTTCTCGACCCATCTCCCGCCTCGCCCGGCCACGCCCGTGGCCCCGGAGAACCATGCTCGACCTTCATATTCACACTCGCATCATCGGAAGCCTCGGAAGATTGTGCTGTGCTTTGATGGCACAGGCAACAAGTTCCACGGCGATGACAGCGACAGCAATATCTTGAAGATCTTCCGCATGCTGGATAGAACCGCCAGCGAGCAGTGTGCGTCAACCCCTTCCTTACCTATGTTGGAGGTATGATGAGAATACTAACCAAGCATAGACCACTATTACCAGCGTATGTCCCGCAGTTTTTGCGTTTTGTATGTGTCTAATACTGACTTGTCAAGCCGGCATTGGCACGTATGTCGTCTCAACCAGTCTCACCAACACGGGGAGGGTTGCCAGGATCAAGTCCTGGTACATGAAAGCCAAAGATTCGGCCGTCGGGTCATCGTTTGACCAACATGTCGTCGGCGGGTACCGCTTCCTGATGCGCTTCTACAACCCTGGAGATGAGATCTACATCTTTGGCTTCTCCCGGGGCGCCTACATCGCTCGCTTCCTCGCCGAGATGCTGGATTACGTCGGCCTCCTATCCCACGGCAACGAAGAAATGGTTGTGTTTGCCTGGAAAGCCTTCTCCAACTGGCAAAGCCGTCAGGGCGCCCAGACCCCCGAATCCCTCAAGAAGAAAAAGGAGATGTACGCGTTCATGAAAGGGTTCCGCGAGACCTTTTCTCGCCCAGTCCGCCGCATCCGCTTCCTGGGTCTGTTTGATACCGTCAACAGCGTGCCTCGCTTCGAGACGGCGTGGATGGAGCGGAGCAAGTTCCCGTACACCGCCCGCACCTCAGCAAAGGTGGTACGCCACGCCGTCGCCATTGACGAGCGCCGTGCCAAGTTCAGACAGGACCTCATCTACCAAAGCAGTGCCCGCGGCCGGAAGCCAGAGAAACGCAATCCCGTTCACCAGAGGCTTCATGAGATCAACGAGAAGTATCTCAGGAAAGGCAGCGTTGTGCCGGAGAAGCCGGGGGATGGTAGAGGTCGCCGCCGGAAGGCGAAATTGGACGTCCCTGACGACCCCGCCCCTTACCGTGCTCGCTCGCATTCGGCACGGTCCCGGCGAACACGCATGACGGAGAGCTCAAATGTGGATGCCATCCTGCATGACGGCAAGTCCGAGATCTCGGTCGCCCCTCACCCTCACGATGAGGATCCCGATGTCGAGTCGGATACGGAGTCAGAGGAAGCAGATCAGGACATCGACGAGGTCTGGTTTGCGGGCGGCCACGCCGATATCGGTGGCGGGTGGGAGCTCCTCCCCGAGTCGAAATCCGCAAGCCACGTCCCTCTGGTCTGGATGGTCCACGAGGCGATGAAGGCCGGTCTGAATTTCGATCTCGACAAAGTCCGAGAGCTGGGTTGCATGGAGGCCCTAGACGACTTGTGCATGACATCGGCAGACCCCCAGCAGGGTGGTGAAGCACCTGCGGGACAACCTCCCATCCCTGACATCATGGTCCGTAGCCCGAGCACCGCGACGCCCAAAATCTTCCAACGGTCCGGTTTCAACCAAGAGGCCAATACGAGCACCTCGAGTAGCAGCAGCTCTGACGAGTCCTCGGCGAGCCAACCAACCTTCAAGGAGATGATGCACAAGGCCCACACTGCCCTGATCCACGACTCACTGGAGTTCGGGGGCGGACTCAGCTGGTCGGCGGTCGCAGCCTGGAAGGTCATGGAGTAAGTCTGATTTTCTAATGTACCTCCACTCCCCCGCCGTCCACCCTTCATTAGCCCCCTCCATCATCGTCAAGCCACGAGACCCCATAGGGTTCCGTCCCAGCTCCATATCACACATAACCATCCGCCCTCCAGTCCACAATAACATCGCTAACCCAACGCGCTAGGTACCTCCCATTCCGCCGCATGGACCTTCAGCCCGACGGTTCGTGGAAGCCCATCAGCTGGCCGCTGCCGCGCGGCGAGGTGCGCGACATCCCCCACAACGCGCGCATCCACGGCAGCGTGATTCGCCGCCTGCAGGTCGACAAGAATTACAGACCAGGCAACCTCATCGTGGGCGGCGGCGGGAGGGGCGTCAAGAGAGCGCCGGACCATCTGGGCATTGGCGAGTGGGTGTGTGTGGAGAAGGAGGGGTGTCCGGTTGGCGAGGTTTGGGTGCGGAAGGATGCGCTGGAGAAGCAGAATGGGAATGGCGTACACAATGGAAACGGGGAGAAGCTCCAGTAGATGGGACAGGTAGGTTATGGGGGCGATATGGGCGTTATCGTTTTAACTACATCTTTTGCGGCGAACACGGTGCGTATCATCAAACTTTTTAGACCTTACATCAAGTAACTACCAACACCAACACTGGCCTCCACAGCCTTCACCAACATAAGTAACCTGCCATGAGCCGCTCCCAACTCCATTTTCGGGTATCTCTCCAAGGAACCCCATCCCAACGGACGGCCCTTCACTGGCCTTGATCCTTAATCGCGCTCCATCTCCATATACCTCTCCGTCCCCTCCATCGTCATATGATTCTGCCCTCCAATCGCCTCCCCACACTCCGGACACCTCGCCTGTTCCATCGGCATGCCACACTCCCCAATCGCAAACTGTAACACAATCTCGTTAGCCAGCAATCCCCAGTAAAAGGGGGAGGGGAGAGTAGAAGGGGGAGAGGAGGAAAGCAGGTGGGAGCCAGCAACCCCCCCCACCTCCTCAGACCCCCCAACGCCACAAACAAAGCAACCAACAAAAGAAAACAAGAAAAAAAAAAAAAAAAAAACTCACCGGATGCCCATTCCGACAAGTATACCAATGCCCCGAATGCGTACTCAACCCCGCCCTCCCCTCCACCATCGCCTTCTTGATCGCCGCCAGCTCGGCCGGCGTGACCGCCTCGTAGCGGGCTTCGGCAAACAGCTTGGCCGTCTCCTCCACCTCGTCCCGGTAGGCGGCGCCCACGCTGGACGGCAGGCTGTCGCAGAGGGCGAGGGCGCGTGTGAGCAGGGTGCGTGCGGTTTCGGTGTGTGTGGGCTCGTTTGTGTCGTCGGGGGGTTGTTTTGTTAGAGGGGTTGGGGTGGGCGGTTCGGTGGTGGTGGTGGTGGTGGTGGTGGCAAGGGTGGGGGCGATGGTACGGCGGTACCAGCCCTCGAGCTGGGCGATGCGCGCGTAGGAGAGGATGGTGGGGATGACGAGGCGTGGGAGTTTGGCTGCGGTGGCGCTGTCGATCAGGGTTTGGCAGCCCGTCAGGAAGTTGACGGCTCGCTTGTCGACGGCGCCGCTGCCCTTGGTAAGGGGGGTGGTGCTGTAGATGCTGTTGTGATCGGTGAATTGGGTAAAGGCGTCGCGCAGCAGGGCCTCTTGAATGCGCAACTGTAGGCGGTGGGCGTTGAGTGTGATTTGCTGGTCGTAGACCGGTTGAGGGACTGTGGTGGTGGTGGTCTCGGAGAGGGTGAAGTTTGCGAAGGTTTGCTCCAGGGTTTGCTCCAGGGTTTGCTCGAGGGGTTGCTCCCGTTGAAGACGTTGGAAAGTTAGGACGGCGTCAAAGAGCTTCTTGGTAGGCTGGTGCTCGGCAGCCATCTCCTTCCGGAACTTGGTTATCTCCGTGGGCAACTTTACGGCCACCTTACGGGCCGACCCCAGATCTTGGGAACCAGAGAGTTGCTTCTCTGCTGCTGCCACCCGCTCGTCAAGTCGTGCCAGCGTCTCACGGCCCCCTACCAGGAACCGCTTTGAGGTCTCGTCCAGGACTGCCTTATTGACAGCCCGGTTGTACCGTCTCGTGGCGAACTGGCGGATAGGGATCCTGCAGTCGGGGCAAGCAGGTACGGTCATCAACTGGCCGGATAATTCCCCAAGACCGTTGAAGTTGCCGAACTTGTCCGTTGTGTACACATTCCTTAGCCCGAGCATACCATCAAGCGTCTCACCCGTGAAAAAATGGCCGCATCCGAGGACCGCAATGGGGGTCTCGTCCAGATCGATTTCGCCGTATGTCTTAAACTCCATGAGATCCACGCGAGCATCCTTCTGGGTGCAGCATATCTGGCACCAGTTTTGCGGGCACTCCTCGCCGCAGAAACTCGGGCATTGATGGCCGCATATGAGAGTATTGGTGCAGCGTTCGTCGCAGGGCAGTCGGTCGCAAGGTGCCGCGCATGGCAATGAGCAGGAGCCTTTGTGTTCGCAGGACCATGTGCACTTTTCGATGCATGGAGTGCAAGGATTCTGACATTCCTGGTGGCAACGAGAGTGAGAGCAGCGGACTTCACACGTCTTGGTGCAAGTCCCACACTCCTTCCCCTCATGGCAAGCCTTGGAACAGCGATGGTTGCAAGTACCATACGGCCTGTCGCACACCTTATTGCACGTCTGGTGGGTGACGATGACAACCGCCTCCTCACCCTGCCCTCGGCATTGGCCGCACGTCCCCGGGCATTGATGGCCACACTCCAGCCCCTCAACACACTTCGTCGGACAGGCATACGACTCCGCCGAGACATCGTCGCAGCAACGAACCGTAACGGTATGCCCACACCCAGGCACCACCTTCTCCACCATCTTCTCACACCGAATGCCCCCCAAGTCCAACGTCCTATAGCACTCCACGGCATCATGGACATGCCCGCACCCCAAGCGCACTCCATCAACACCCACCCTACACGGCCCACACACCTGGCCACACAGCCTCGGGCACGGATGCTTACACGTCGCCCTCAACCTTGGACACGGCTGCAAACAGTCAAACGCATCATGCAACCTCGCCGAGTGGCACGGCGCGGGACACCGATGGCCACACGGCTCCAGCCGTCTCTCACACGTCAACGCACACCCGCCCTCGGGGCTCTGCACCACAAAATCCGCCGGCTCCGCGCACGCGAGCGCCGTCTCCGGATGGCGGGGACAGCACAGGGCGAGGGCGGGGCCGAGGGCGTTGCGGGCGCGCAGCTGGGTGTGGACGTCGGCCCACATGGGGATGGCCGCGTAGGTGGCGGCGTTGCCGATCAGGTACAGGCCGTGCTGGGCGCGGCTGAGCAGCACGTTGATGCGGTTCTCGGTGCGCAGGAAGCCGGCCTTGTGGGCGGGGTTGCTGCGCACGAGGGAGACGACGATGACGGCGGCTTCTTCGCCTTGGAAGTTGTCGACGGTGGCGAGGCGGATGGTGTGGAGGAGTTTTTTCTTTTCGGTGAGTTTGCGGGGGGCGGTGTCGGCGGGGGTGGGTTCGTTGTTGGTGGTGGTGGTGTCGGGTTGGGCTTCGAAGCCTTCCTGTGCGAGGGCCTCGATGTCGCGGTCGCTGAGGAAGACTTCGAAGTCGTTGCTGAGGCTGGCGCGGAGCTTTTGGAGCTGGCCGGTGTAGGGGGTCAGCAGCGCGATATCCGTGCTCTTGTACTCGCCCTGTCGCACGAGGTGGTGGATGAGGGCCTTGGCCATCGACACTTCCCAGGGGTTGCTGTGCGACTTGACACTGGTGCCGTCGTCTTTGCCCATCTTCTGGGTGGTCATGGTCCAGCCCAGAAGAGAGTTGTCTCGCATCCCGACGACGGACGGTAGATCCATGACACAGGGGTGGTCTTGTAGGTTCGGGTACATCCTCCGAATGAGCTGGGAGATCTCCGGCCGCATGCGTCGCTGGACATTGAGTTGCGCCACTGGTAACGGCGGCAGCCCCGGCTCACCGACTGCGCGGCGCTCAAATTGGCTGCGGTCGAGCTGGTGAGCACGCCCGGCCGCCGTCTCCAGGCTGAACTGGAGGTAGTTCTGGATCTGAGGGCGCAGCTGCTTGTGGTCGCCGATCTGGATGAAGTGCTCAACCCCGGGCATAAGGGCGGAGATCAGGTGCGGTTCCATCACTTCGGCCGCTTCCTCACAGATGATGACCTTGACGCCGAGACGGCAAAGCATCTTGATATTCCGAGCCAGCCCCGTGGTGGTGACGCCCACAACCTGAGCTTTGAGGAGCGTGCGCCGGCTGACGTCGTCATGCACGCTGTTAATTTCTTCTCGGTGAAGTTTGGCTTGGTCAACCTGCTCGAAGATGCGGTCGCTCTGTACTTGAGTTAGCCGGCTCACCCAGCTCTCGGCTAGCACCCAACGCTCAAGCGGTGTAAGGGAGTAGATGTTCTTTTCAGCCCGCAGAGAAAGCTCGATCACGCCGTCATCCTTGTAATCTTCCTCGAGCCGTTTATGAACGGCCTCCCCTCTCGAA